CCGAGTCCTGGTCGGTCGGAGGCCGGTAGCACGGGAATGAACCCGTTTTGGGTTTTGGTTGGGGGCGCGGGACTTTCTGACCCACTTTAGGATTTCGGGGGTGTGCGTGTAGATGAGATGTAAATGCAGCGTAGTTTCCATTGGCTCAGAGCAAAGCAAGTCACATGCAAATGTAACGTCGGCTCTGGAGGGCGGCATCGTGGACTCAGGTCCTGTTTCCTTGGGAACCACAAAGATAAGATGCCTGTAGTTTGTATATCAAGCGTACATAACAGTACCAGCATTTAGGAAGTACTGAGTGTGATCTAAAGTGTTATTTAGTGTCAGTTCGTCATCGTGGTGGTCATCCTCATATTAAAGCCTTAGACCCCCTTAAGTGCAGGCAGCAGGACAGCAGTTTTGACCATGGATTTTGAAGAAAAGACTATCAAATGAATGGTCTAAAGCAGTGACTTCTCATCCCTGGGGCAATTTTATCCCATCCCATCCACAGGCTTGACACTACCTGGAGACATTTTCTCTCAGATGACAGGTGAAGGTGGGGTGTTACTGGCATCTAGTGGAAGCCAGGGGTGCTTCTCAACACCCTATACTGAATGGGGCTGCACTTACCACTCAGAATTATCTCTAGTGCTTAATACAGCAGATAGCAAGAAACCCTGTTTAAGTAATGCACGATGTGGAGCAGGCATTCATTGTTTAGTCACTAAGTCGTGTCCCTCTCCTTTGAGACCCCTTGGACTGTAGCCCGCCAGACTCCTCTGTCCATGGGATTCTCCAGGCAGGACTACTGGAGTGGGTTGCCATTTCTTCCAGGGCATCTACCCAACCCAGGGATCGAATCCAGGTCTCCTGCATTGGCAGCTGGATTCTTTACCCGCCAGAAAAACCCCAGATATTCATTAGGTATATTATTTTTTCCTGTGGTCACACCAGGCAGCACGTGGGATCTTATTTTCCATAGCACTGAACTTGTGCCACCTGCAGTGGAAGTGCAGAGTTGGACCGCCAGGAGAGTCCCCTTATTATTGTGAATTTTCAGAGAGAAATGATTTTCTTTCAGATCCAACGTAATTCTTTAATCTCAATGAAACACTATTTACATATTTGCTTTTTAATGAAATAACTCAAAGAAGTGTAGAAAAGTATTACACATTTTATCTTTCAGCCATATTTGTCCCACACATTTGTAAACCAGTAAATTCCTCCTCCTCTCTCCATAGAGGTGGCCATTTCTAATTTGACATGTTGTCTTGTAGTCTGTGTGTACATAAGATTTCTTTTAAAATGTGTTCAAAAACTGCTGTTAACAATCCTATTGTGCATAGTCACCTCCAGCTTTTTTCCCCCTCTTCCTGCAATGTTTTTTTATTTCTTTTGCAACATGGGGCATGTGGGATCTCAGCTCTGGGACCAGGTATCAAACCCATGCCCCTGCACTGGAAGTGCTGTAAGTGGGGAGTCTTAACCATTGGAATGCCAAGGAGGTATTTGCAATATTATTTTAAAGATTCAGTTTTTATACACCGGGGTTTCTCAGATTCAACATTTGGTACCAGATGGTTTTTTGGTGGGAGTGTCCTGTGCACTGTAGGGTGTGGAGCAGCAATCCCAGCCCCTAGGCACGCTCCAGTAGCAGCCCCTCCCCAGTCAGTCATGATGTTCAAAATTGTCTCTAGACACTACTAAAGTCTCCCCTACCCCCCAGGGGCAGAATTAACTCCTGGTGGAGAACCAGTTTATACATGAAGATGTAATTAGTTGCTGACATCTGCTTTGTATGTGCCATATTTAGCCATTTTCTTTCTGACCGTATTTTATTCAATTTTCTTAATGTTTTTATTTTTGTTACTGATTCAGGTTCTTGGACTCTTCAACAGAAGTTGCTAAGAGGCCAGATGAGGAATTCAGGCAAGGGACTGAATTACTGGGACTCCAGCTGCAGAAGGAGGGAGTGAAAACAAGTAACAGGTGCCCTCACTGGATCCTGGAGGGGTGGTGGGCTGGTCCCTTAAAAGGGGGCAGGGTGGGGGCAGGTCCATGAGTTCAGCCCTGAGTGGCTTAGTGGGTCCCACCCCCTGGGGGTGTGGGCAGGGATCATGCATAGGACCTTGCTTTTGACCCCAACACCTTGTAAGTGGCAGCTGGGTTTTTGTTCATTTTGTATCTTGTTCTTGGTAATTTGCCCCAACTGCTCAGGTGTGCAGTTATTTTTAGTTTCCCCTGTAGTTTCTCTGTATCCTGTTGTTCCAGGGAGATGTATGTTAGGGTGAAAGCACTGCAGCAAAGGGGCCCAGGTCCAAACCCGTCTCAATCTATAATTGGGAATAAATTCCCGTTCTCTTTTGTTTCAAATTGAGACATGGCTAAAACTAGTGAGTCAGTTTCTCAGCAGCATACACGTGAAGAAAACATCTAACAGAAAATAGCAGAGTTCATATAAAAATGTAAAGCTATTAAACATAGTAGGTTTATCATTTAGAGCAGCCAGCTATAAGAGAAAATGTTCACAGGGGCCAAATATATGCAAAAGTGCTTATCTCAATTATGGAAGTATTCAAAACAACAAATGCAGCATCATTACAGCCTCTCAACAATGCAACCAAAGGAAGAGGTTTCCCACATTTGTGGCTGCCATATTACATCTGCCATGGTGGAAGAAGGAAACATCCCCTATTAGAGGAACAAGATGCTTCCCACAGAAATCATGTAATTAGAATTCTTGGACATGAAGAGGGCCACATAATATGAGAAAATTACCGAGGGATCTTCTGAAGCCTGAAGTGGCCTGATGGACCCCAAAGAGCCGCAGGAACATGCAGGGAACTGTATGATCCTGAAAACCAAAGAGGACCCATGATGAGGGGCCTTATCCACACTGCTGAGCAGAGTCCACACTGCTGCCCAGCAGGTAAGCTACATCAAACATGTGTCTGACTGGGGCTGTTCCACACAGGCAGAGCCAGAAGTGAGAAAGCAGTGCTGGAGCTCAGGCCACCAGGCTGCCCTGCAGCTCTGTCTCCTGATGGTACAGAAGAGCTGAGAATCATGGCTTCCTCACTCCAGCTCCGGACTTCATGCATCTTCCTCTTCTCAAGAACTTTAACTCAGAATCACTAACAGAAGGACTCTGGATATAGTTTCCCACCTTACCCAAGATGACAACACAGTTCAGTAGAATCATCTAGACAGCAGCTTTCATCTCCATGCCAACAGGCATTCTTCTTAACTCAAGTGTTTTGTGTCCAATTTCTAACTGAGGTCAAGGACAATGCGCAGAGGCCAAATTACAAACATTACCAGGCAAGACAGAAGGTCTTTCAACACCTTCCACAATTACTGACCACCTGACCTGCCTCTTGAGAAACCTGTATGCAGGTCAGGAAGCAACAGTTAGAATTGGACATGGAACAACAGATTGGTTCCAAACAGGAAAAGGAGTATGTCAAGGCTGTATATTGTCACCCTGCTTGTTTAACTTATATGCAGAATACATTACGAGAGACGCTGGGCTGGAAGAAGCACAAGCTGGAATCAAGATTGCTGGAAGAAATATCAATAACCTCAGATATATAGATGACACCACCCTTATGGCTGAAAGCAAAGAAGAAATAACCTTTTGATGAAAGTGAAAGAGGAGAGTGAAAAAGTTGGCTTAAAGCTCAACATTCAGAAAACTAAGATCATGGCATCTGGTCCCATCACTTCATGGCAAATAGATGGGGAAACAGTGTCAGATTTTATTTTTTGGGGCTCCAAAATCACTGCAGATGGTGATTGCAGCCATGAAATTAAAGGACGCTTACTTTTTGGAAGGAAAGTTATGACCAACCTAGACAGCATATTAAAAAGCAGAGACATTACTCTGCCAACAAAGGTCCATCTAGTCAAGGCTATGGTTTTTCCAGTGGTCATGTATGGATGTGAGAGTTGGACTGTGAAGAAAGCTGAGCACCAAAAAATGGATGCTTTTGAACTGTGGTGTTGGAGAAGACTCTTGAGAGTCCCTTGGACTGCAAGGAGATCCAACCAGTCCATTCTAAAGGAGATCAGTCCTGGGTGTTCATTGGAAGGACTGATGCTGAAGCTGAAACTCCAATACTGTGGCCACCTCATGTGAAGAGCTGACTCATTGGAAAAGACCCTGATACTGGGAGGGATTGGGGGCAGGAGGTGAAGGGGATGACAGAGGCTGGATCCATCCATGCCATCAAGATGGCTGGATGGCATCACTGACTCGATGGACATGAGTTTGAGTAAACTCCAGGAGCTGGTGATGGACAGGGAGGCCTGGCATGCTGCGATTCATGGGCTCTCAAAGAGTCGGACATGACTGAGTGACTGAACTGAACTATAAGTAACACAGATATAGTATCCACTAGCAAAAAAGAAATATAGACGATATATACCTTTCAGTATAAAAACTCCAGAGGATGGTAAATGCCGAGTCAGGAAATTCCAGTATATATAACTGAATGAGAAAATACTTTTCAACAATATTATGATCATATTATGATCACATACCATGAACAATTGGCAAAGTAAAGATCAAAAATATTTTCATCTAAACTGATACCACATAGAAAAAAACACAAATCAGGAAAAAAAAAGAAAAAAAAAAGACTTTCACTCTGGGTTCAAAAGACATTGTAATGACATTGAGACATGTAGTATATAACTGTGTATTTAATGTCCAGGGTCACAACACACAAGTAGTAAAGATGATGGGAACATAGAGGGATGGTTATTATCTTAAGTGTTCAGATCAGCAACACAAACTAGAAATTAATACACTGGGATCCCTATTCAAGATGAGGCATTTATAAGGAAAAACTATATTTATTTCCATTAAAAAAATTCATCCTACCCTGAGTTTTCAAGTACAAAATAAATGAAGTGCTGAAGGCTTTCCCTGCATTCTTTCCATTCATAGTTTCTCCCCCTTGACTGCTTCATTTATAAGCTTTTAAGGGAAAAGGCTTTCCCACCAGTCTTCATATTCAGAATTTTTCTCCAGTGTGCGTCTTCATGTGTCTCTGCAGGGATATGAGACACCTGTAGGCTTTTTCACACTGCTGACATTCGTACGGTTTCTCTTCACTGTGAGTTATCATGTGTCCTTGCAAAGATCTTGGATACCTGAAGGCTTTCCCACACTGCTGGCACTGATAAGGCTTCTCTTCACTGTGTGTTTTCATGTGTTCTCGAAGGGATGAAGAAGTGATGAATGCTTTTCTGCATTCTGTACACTCATAGGGCTTTACTCCACTGTGTGTTTTCACGTGTTTTCTGAAGTACTTAGGACAACTGTAGGATTTCCCACAATCATTACACACATAAGGCTTCTCTCCTGTGTGTATCCTCACATGTCCTTGCAGGGATTTGAGATAGGGGAAAGCTTTGCCACACTGCTTACATTCATAGGGCTTTTCTCCACTGTGTGTTCGCATGTGTTCCCGAAGGTAAGTGCACCAGCTGAAAGCCTTGCCACACTGCTTACACTCATAGGGCTTCTCTCCAGTGTGCATTCGCACATGTTCTCGGAAGTGTGAGATGCCAGTAAAAGCTTTCCCGCATTCTTTGCATTTGTAGGGTTTCTCTCCAGTGTGAGTTCTCATGTGCCGTTTAAGTTGGCAGTAATAACTGAAAGATTTCCCACACACGTCACACACATAGATTTTCTGGCCATATTGACCTCTCTTGTGTCCCTGAAAAGTGAGCGCTTCTCCAGATTTTTTACAGTCTAAGGATTGTTTACTACTGTGACTCTTCATGCATCTCTTAGATGCTCTCCCAGCATCTTGACATTTATCACGTTTTTCTATAAAGTCTGTTTCCCCAGCAGGGCTGAGGCACAAAACACAGCTGCAGGTTTGTCCACATTCCTCACATGTATAAGGTTTTTGTCCAGTGTGAGACTTTTGCTGATTTTTCTTCAAGGAATGATCCCTGAAGGCTTTTCCACATGTAATGCATTGATGAGGCTGAATTTTAATCTGATACCTCTCATGCACAGTAAGATCTATAATCCTGTTTGGAGTTTTTAGAGATTGATGATCTTCTTTACCTTCACAGAGACTTTCCACCAAATGATTTCTGGTCAAAACAGGAAGTGAATTATTAGGGATTAATGATTTGTTTATGGTTATTCATGATTATTTTGACTATATATTTGTGATTTTCAATGAATGGGCATGTTTTCAGCACTCTGCGATGTGACAAAGTGCAACAAAGGTTAATGCTCTGGCTGAGGGCTCAAAGAGCCATAACTTTCAGTGTTTTTTACACGAGGTTTTCTAATCATTGTTTCCTACTGAATTAAGTTTCTGATGCTCAGTATCTATAGCACATTTATAAAAGTATTGTTTTGTAAAAATTCTGAGTACACAATTGTTTATTAGCTAACTTTACAACTGTTTAGCTGCTTCCCTGGTAGCTCAGAGGTTAAAGCATCTGCCTGCAATGCAGGAGACCTAGGTTCGATCCCTGGGTCAGGAAGATCCCCTGGCAAAGAAAATGGCAACCCACTCCACTATTCTTTTATTTTTTTTCACTCCAGTATTCTTGCCTGGAGAATCCCATGGACGGAGGAGCCTGGTAGGCTACAGTCCATGGGGTCGCAAAGAGTCAGACACAACTGAGCGACTTCACACCTTTCTTTACCATCACATGAGTCTAACACTCTGCTGAGATCCCTTGTCCCCCTTCTCCCTGTGGGAGTGCCACTCACCTCACACATCTCTCCTCAGTTAGATGCTGATCTCGCAGGTTATGAAATGCCCAGTTTTCTCCCAAAACAGACCTAGAGTCATTTCTTGTGAATCTTACAACTTCCCGTTCAATGCACAGTCCAGTCTCCAAAATATCCCACTGAGGACTTGATATATTGACCTTAACTTGCGGGCAAGAACCTGCAATGATTGGAAGCATAATTAAATCATTGGGAAAGAAATGGTGGGGGAAAGCAAAGAGAGACCATATCTAGATTTCTCTCCATAGACTCATTCAAAAACATAAAATAATTTTATAAAGGAAGGAAGGAGATGTGTGATATTGTGATCTATCAGACACACACACACACACACACACACACACACACACACACACACATACATTTGGTCACTGAGATGACCAACATGTACTTCTCAAATAAACTGGGTCCTTATCCACTGTTTCCTGCTGAGGGATCCCAAAACCCTTGGAATTTCCTGAGCAATAAAAGCAACAATATGTAGTCTCTTGTGCTCATTTCCAGAAAATGCTTCAGGATCAGAAAGATGAAATAGGTTTCCTATGATTCATAACAAGCCTTTTCCATCCCAATTGAGTTTATATTAGTGAAAGAAACTGTTGCAAAGATCCTGAGTATCGGGACTAATCACCAATAAAGACAACCACTTGATTATAAAGGGTTGAAACTTTCAGTCCCACCCATATCCCCCAGCACCCCCAAACCTCTGGGGGTGGGGGAGGAGCTAGAGATCAAAGCAACTGGCAATGGCCGGTGACTTCATCAACCATGCCTATGTAATGAAGGCATGAAAAAAAGGTTTGGAGAGCTTCTGGGTTGGTGAACACATAGAGATGTGGTGAAACTGGCACCTGGAGAAGCACGGAAACTCCTTTTCAAATCTAGATGCATTGCTTACATCTAGCTGTTCCTGAATTATATCCTTTAATAATGAACCTGTGATCTAGTAAGAAGCATGTTTCTCTGAGTTCTGTGAGCTATATTAATATATTAACAACCCAAGGAGAGAGTGATGGCCATCATAGGGAAAATGAGTCAAAATGGCAATCTGTTCACTAATAAGTACCTCATAGAAGCAAAGTAGAAAGGAACTGGGCAAAATGCACTTTCCCGAATGATCCCTTTGTCAGAGAAACTCCAAAAAGACTTCAAGTGGACAAGAATGGATGAAAACTCCAAGAGGGAAGCCAAGTTAATGACACCTATCACCTTCTCAGAGACCTGAGCTGTGCTCCTAAGACATACGGCCAAATATCCCTCCCTGACCCAGAACCTGGTCCTCCCGAGCAGGTGTGCTCCCTGGTGATCGCAGGTACAGAGGCCCTGGGTGAAGTCCATGGACCCAGCTGCCCCTGGGAGGTGGGACAGAGTGCGGCTGCCAAAATGCTCCTAGAGAATGCTCCTCCTGGGGAGGGTGAAGGACAGGTTAAGTGCAGGTATTAACTGCAGCAAGATCATCTCAAATGTGTACTGATCACAGGATAACTTTCACAGGGTGAAAACCATTATGATGCTCTCACTGCCCCAAGGTGACACTGGAGACCGTGCTCACAGTTTTGAAATTAGGGAGCCTCAGGATTCTGATCAAGAGTAATAAAAATCAATTCAGTACAGTCACACTGTTGGGAAAGCTATCTACTCTAGGTAGGTTCTAAAAAGGTGGGGACCATATTTTTTTCAAAATATTGCCATCCTCATCACTCATAAGAAAGGACATTGTAAGTAACTTCGCTAAAGACTTAGTGCAGGGAGGAAGCCGTCCTCACCCACAGTGGCCAGGTTCCTGCAGGTCTCCAGCATCACGTCTCTGTAGAGCTTTCTCTGAGCAGGGTCCAACAGTTCCCACTCCTCCAGGGTGAAGTTCACAGCCACGTCTTCAAAGACCACTGAGTCCTGAAACAGCCACATGTTCTGTGTCAGCGAGGCTCCTCCTTCACCCCCGAGTGTGGGAGGATTGGGGAGGCCGACAGGTGGGAACTGGACTCAGTTCCTAGGACTCCTGAGCTTATACTCTTGCAGGAAGTGATCACATGCCAGCAAATCTAATGCAGGTTTCTCAGTGATGGTGAGTGCTGGACAATGAAACTGTGTAACAGCAATAACTGATAAACACACATAATGAAAAAGAACTGTTTTTAATGAAATAGAGCAGATCATGAGGCTGGAGAAATACTGAAAATGAAATAATTATTCAGATGACTTGGAAATGGATATGTGGCCTACTTGTAAGTTACTTCCTTGATTCTCCAAGAATGGGAGCATACTGTCAGGAGGTTGTGGACACAGATTTCCCAGGACCACTGCATCTGAACAACTTTCACTTTGACTGAAACAGCATGTAAAAGCCTGGTCTGGTCCCCTCATATCTGACAGAAACACACAGCCCTCTGCAGGATGAAGTGGACACCAAGGGCACAGGCACACGTCAGGGTCCCGGGCCTGGGACACCTGTGGAGTTAACGTGGGGTTAAGAGGAGGCCGGGCTCCTGAGGGACTGGTTGAGCCAGCAGGGTCTCTCGGATAAATAACCAAGTGCCCGGAGTACAAGGAAGATGCCCCACAAAGAAGAGCTGCAGAAGATCTGATGGCAACAGAGTCGAAGGTAACTTGAACACAGAGAAAAATTATCTTTAGGACAATATAGGCTGACACTACACCCCTGAAATACAAAGCAAATGATTATTTTTATAAATCAGAATTTTAATCAAAGATATATTCTGGAAATCTAGATGATAAAATTCCTACTATATCAGCTACAAAGACAAGGCTACCTAACCTTGGGCTGCAACTGGGGCTTGCTAATCGAACTCCTGAAAATGTGGAATATTAGGGAGTTTGTTACCAGTCCTGGGGTTAAGACTCAGCGCTTTCACTGCCTGGTTGCTCAGTTGGCTCTCTAGTCAGGAAACAAGATACCGCAAGCTGTGCGGTGTGGCCAAAGGGGGAAAAAAAAATGGGACATTAGTCATCAAGGAGATGCACATGAAAACCACACATACTTCTTCATACCCACTAGAAGAGCTCTAAGACAGACAAGCAAGTGTTGGAGAGGATGTGAGGAACCTGGAACCCTCAACCACCGCTGGAGAGAAGGTAGAATAGTGAAGCCACTTTGGAAAACACTCCAGAAAATCCTGAAGATTATTAACAAAGCACCATATAACAGCAATTCCACTCTAGCTATCTATCTGCCCAAGAGAGGTGAAAGTAAAACACCAACACAAAAACGAATATACACAAACATTCACAGCCGCATGAGCTGTGACAGCCAAAACATGGGAACAACTGAGAAGGCCATGAAGTGATTTGGATAAACAAATTCAGTCTAATCTCACAATGGAATATTACTGGCAATAAGAGGAAGGAAGTACTGATCCATAGCAAAAAAAAAAATCAATGAACTTTAAAAACATTATCAGAACCCACAAATGCCCACTGGCAGTATCATCATTGCAGACTGGAAACTCACAAAAACAAATCTCAGTGTATTTTGATCAAGCAAAATAAGCAGCTGAAATGTAAATGTTTAAACAGATCTTTAAAAAATATAATCAACTTTTAAAAGCTGAGAGGGTGGGGAGCAGGGACATGCTGGCATGTGTCTGCAGGAGTACAAACCTTGGAACCTAGACGGTTGGGTGTGAATCTGAAAGAACCTGTGAGTGGCAGCAAGGTCCATGTAGCTGTGTGTTGCATGGATGTGTGAGTCCGGGGGTGAGCAAGTGCCTGTATGCATGTGACTGAGAACGTCAGTGTCTGAGAACATCTGTGGCAGTATTGTGGGCCACTGGGCATGTTTGCGTAGGCACCAGGTGGCACACACTGGTTGCAGGGTTCACTTGTTCGCTCAGTTCTTATGTGCGTGCATCCGTGCTCAGTGGTGTTTGACTCT